CCTCCTCCCCAGAGCACCCACTTCCGGGAGCCCGTGCGGCAGCTGGCACAGAAGCAGGTGGAGCAGATGCATCTGCGATACTACAACTCGGACGTGCACCGCGCCGCCTTCGTGCTGCCCGAGTTCGCGCGCAGGGTGAGCGCCCGACCAGCAGCCTTGGCCCACCCCCAGGATGGCCCAGCCCCCGGTACCCAGGCCACCCTCCTGACTGGTTCTATGTCCCACAGGCCCTGAATGATGTGAGCTGAGTCCAGGTGCCGCTGCCGACACCACCCAGGACCTCGGGCCAAAGAGCCTCCGGCGTGCCTGGGCCCCACCAGCCCCGGACCAGACCTCCTGCCGGCTCTCGCCCACCGACCAAGTGTTACAGGCCCAGAATGCTGCCCGGCCTGCCCTGCTGGGCGGACTGTCTGTCTGTGTGTGTGTCTTTCTGTGTGGCTTTCAGCCTCCAAGCCTATACCAGCTGTGTACAGCGCCATCTCTGCCTTCTGTCGCCCCCTCATTCACCAAACACATGTATTTATAACAAAGTCTGGAATCACATCCCTGACCTTGACTGGGTGCTCCTGGGTGTGAGGTTCTGCATGGGCCCTGATATGTGGCCTCCCAGTGTCTGCTATGTGGCTGTGGCTAGATGGGCTGGGCCCTCTCTGTATAACCTGAACCAGCCCCTTGACCTCTGTGGCATGGAGGACCTAGCAGTTGTCAACGGGACCCACTCCTGTCCTGGGAAGCTGACTTAGCCATTTCTTCTTCAAGCCCTCACAAGGCCACTGATAGCAGAGCCCTGGAGCCAGGGCCATGCAGTTGACAAGATCGAGGGGGGGCCACCGAAGGGCTTCGGTTTCTTCTGGGCTGCCCCAAAATGTTTTCAGAATTTGTGCCAGTCACTCGGTTAGGTCAGGTTCCATCCAGGTATGCTAGGGTGGGTACTGGAGGTGGCCCCAGAGGGGGAAGGTTGGAGTGTGGTCAGGGTCCAGTGGCCCAGGTGACAGACTGTGCCCTGACTCTGCTCAGGATTCAGGGTTCAAATACTGCCTGTCCCCCCTGTGAGTGCCTTCTGGCAAATTCCTAAAAGCTCCCCCAGGTGTTGAGAATGCAGGAGTGGGTGACCTCACCCGGGACTCCATGAGCACAGGACTGTCCCCTCTCCAAGGTGCTGAACTTCCAGCCTCTG